TAATCTTCCTACTTACTTTCTTTGAAACAACTATATTATTACACTCAAAGCATGTTCTTTTATTAAAAATATTATTATAATTCAGAAATTTATATCTTGGTCATCTCTCAAACTCTTTAACAACTATATATCAGATATTAATTAGAATTTGATATTTAAAATATTAAATTCCTTAGAAAATAACTCTTACAAATACTCTTTTTATATAAAAATTCTAACAAACAACCTTCCAACAATACAAAATTTTAATATCTGCTATTCAAATCTATATACAACAAATAAATATTGTAAATGCCTATTAGCTGAAGACTCTCTTTACATACTCTTGTACTCTAAAAATACTAAAGATATCCAACAATCACTTATCAATATAACTACTAATATATTTTAACAATTCTAACTTATATCTATCCAATCTATCTTACTTCTTAATATACTTTCACTACCAACAACTAACTCTTCTAATCCATAATATAACTCTTTTATTCTACTATTCTTGGTATATATCCAAGATTAATATATCAAAATATTAAAACTCTAACAAAAAAACAAATAGAGTACATGCTTATTAAGTTTTCTAATAATTTTTTATACTTGTTTTTCTATGAAATATGGTTCAAACACAACTTCTCTTAATATCAATAGAAAATAGCCTGAAATATTATACCTAAAACCAAATATAGCAAATTTTTAACTCCTTTACTTACTAACCAAACAAATCTTATTTACAATTAACAGACCTACATGATACTATTGAAAAATAGTATCTACAAGGTTTTTTTCTAACAATATACTTTTTACAATATTATAATTAATACCTTAAGGTCTTCTCTAATCTTTCTTAACTAAAATTACTTTATTTATTTAAATTAATAATAGTATTAAATAGGGAATAGGGGGTGTAATATTATATTGAGTACTTTGTAGCACAAGTGTAGTTAAAAATCTTTGCATAGAAATTTTTCTAAAACTATATCTTTTAGTTATTAGCTAGTTCTGAGTTGAAAAAATTTGGCAGCTTGGTTACATGACTTATCTGTCCTCTTATCCAAGTCTTTCTAATAACAAGAAGACTATTAATCTTTTGTTTAATTTAGATTTATTATAATAAAGTTTCTACTATGACATTATATTTAATAAAAAAAAAAAAAAAATCTTTATTATATATTTAATAGATTGTAGTAAACCAATTTAAACTTACTTCTTTTAAAAGCTAAAAGAGTTTTACTTTAAGCTAGACAAATTTTTAAGAGTGCTTATACAATTTGACCAGGTTAGTAATTTGTCTTTGCTATTAAACAGTACTGCAATAATACAATAATATTAACAAAAATATATAAAATTTTAGAATCATCTGATCAGTAATTCTATATTATAAATAGTGTGATTAATACTGTTTAAATATGGGAGTTGTCTAAAGTAGAATATAATTATGTAATTCTTAACCAATCAAATTATAGAGTTTTGATAATCGCCAGCAAAGTAAAACAAAAAAAAAAGCAAAAAACTTAAAAATACAAAAAACAACAGTCCAAACTTATCTTGGGTAAGTTAAATAAAAATAATAAAAGAGCAATTTTGCATATATAGTTGTATTTTTTAAGTGTATAATATATGAAAAACTTTTCTAAATATATACCACTTGTAGTCCCAAATAATATAACAATTATAAATTTAATCTTTTTAAATATATACACTCTCTAAATGCATATATTGCCTTTTTTTACTATAGTCTCAAGACAATTTATTTATTTTTGCAAGTAACACAAATCAAAAAAAGAAATCAAAATTTGTAAATAAGCTAAGTATATAAAATAAAAGTTTAGAATTAGAGTTGTGAGCATTAGCAATAAGTTAGAGTTTCTTATATGTAAAATTTTATTTCTATTATTTTTTATTAATTTACTAAAGTTGATTTAAATACTAGTTTTTAAGTATTTTTGCTTTTTTTTCTTTTTTTTTCTTTTATACGTGTTTGGATTATATGTTAAACTGATTCAGAAACCCAAAATTTCTGTTCTCTGAGATTCTACTCTAAAATCTTGTTATCCAAAATCTTGGCAGCCCATAATTTTGATATATATCCCTTAAACTGTTTTTCAAGCAAATTTGTAAGAATTTTGAAAATATTTATAATTTTTTAAATAAAATTAAAAATTATTAATAATATAGGGTATATTTTATATATACAATATTTTATTTAAAATATATCCTATAAGCTTTTTTATAAAATTTTTTAATTTTATTAGAAATTTTTAGAGTAATAAAAATTTAAAGCTTTTGCTTTAAAAATTTTTACTATAAAATTTTTTTCTAAATTTTCTAAATTTTTATATGTTTTCGCCTTTAAAAAATTTTTTGCTTTTAATACAAGTCTTAATTTTTATTAATAAATCATTAAAGATGTAATAATAAAAGTTGTCATCCTTTATATAAACTACAATATTGTATTAAAAACTATAGATTTAAACCTAATATTTAAAGAGTTCATCAAGAATTTGTAAATAATTTTTTTAGTTAAAATTTTTTTTAAAATTTATTTGTATTTAGCTTATAAGCAACTCAAACTTTTATTTTTATAATATAAAATTAAATACTACTATAATATAATCATTATTTTCAAATATTAACAAAAAAAATTTTATTTAAATATTTTAAATTTTAAAAAAAGTAAATTATAAACAAATTTATAGCAATTTTTCAAGCAAATTTGTCTGGAATTGTCTACAGTTTAAGGAATAATATCAGAAAAAATATTATTTGAAATAAGCAACTATGATGATGAAAATATTGAATTGTCTTTAAAAGAATTTACTAAAGAAATTAACAAACATAAGTATTTTCTTCAGCATATACAAGAAAAATTTAGTGCAGATAATTTTTGGTATGTAAAAGCTTTACTTAAAGGTTCAAAATAGGTATGTCAAATGATAGATGATATTGATCATACACAAAACAAACAAACTAGAGAAAGAACTTATAAAGATTCAAAAGTGTTCCTAAGATAAATATAGCAATAATTTTTGTATATCAATATTACTTTTTTTTTTTTTTTTAAATGCTTGTTTAGGAATTTGTATTACATGGGTTTCCAATATAGTTTTTATTTAGGATTTTCGTTATAATCTTTTTTTAACTTAGTTTTATCAACTTTAAATCTTGGTATATAAGAATGTAAAGCTTTATATTTTTCAATTTGTATATATATGAAGGTTTTTATTTGTTAAGATTAATTGCAAAGAACTTTTATTATTAAAACATTTTAACTTTCAAGTTTATAAGTATTTTATTATACTTTATTTTATGTTGACTTAAGGAATAAATAAAAAGATTATTAATCTATTATTGTACCTGAAATCATCTAAATTTATAAATGTTACTATTACATTATATTAAAAACATTTATTATTCATAGTACATATAAAAAACATCTATTAATTTTAATATTTGGAATAATCATACAATTTTCAAATATTTCTATTAATTATATCTTATTGACTTCATATATATGTGTCAAGTATATAATTTTTTACAAGTAATTTTGAAAATGAATATTGATGAATTGATAAATGGTTTTTAATTTAAATAAATTTTTTCTTATTTTAAAAAATATTTTTATCTTAAAGCTTGATAATTTACAATAAATGAAGAAAATTTTTGAGATTATTACTATTAAGTAGAGAATTGCGCAAAATCTTTACTATTTTCCAAACTTGATCAATGGTCTTTTTAACTTAGAGAATTCACTCCAAAATTGTCTACTACAGACATATTAAGAATCGCAAAGATTTATTATATGAATAGGCGATATAAAGAGTTACTTGGAGATTTAAATAAATTATTAGAAATAGAACCTGGTGATGTATCTACATCAAAAGATTGTTAGGATAGTTGTTGTATGATGTGCGGGTATAATAAGTCTCTTGCAAATTTTAGCAGATAATAAATAATGGAAAACTTAAGGTGGCCAGATATAATAAGATGCACAGCTAAATAATATTAATGAATTTAAAAGTTATGAAAACACTTATCGTACAATAGAGAAATATGAGAATCGCTTTCAGATTTAAATCAATCATTAGAAATTGAACCTAATAATCATTGGAATTAAGAACCATAAAGACATGTATTGTTTGGTGTGCAAATATAAAGTTTCAACTTTCTTTTAATGGAAATAGTTTTACAATCCAATTAGATAATATATAAAAAGCTTGTGATCGCATAAGTAAGTTTCATTATTAACTGTTTTACTTCAAATTATAATATTTTTTAACGAATACTCTATGCTTACATATTATATATGCATTTACAGATAATAGACTTAAAGTTGAACAATACTTACTGTATTTAAAACCAAATTATTGACAGATCAAAAGTCTAGTGTTAAGCATGTAATCTTTGATGGGCAATTCAAAAAAAGATGAAAATTAAATATTGACGATTGCAACAAACTTTTAATTTGTTATATATTTTTTATAAAATTTTATTAATTATTATTGCGAAATTACAAAATTCCAACCCTTTTTCAGCTTAGAAATTCAATGTTGTGTATTTTAATTGATAACATAATAAATTTTGTAAAAGTTATTCGAGATATTTGAACTTTGGTAATCGTTAAATTATAAATCGGAAATTTTCGGAGAAATGGTCCAATAAAATTTTGTGTAACCAGGAGAATTTTGGGGTTGCTGTATGAGTTCACCATTTTAAAAAAGTACTTTAAAACTGTATAAATAATGTAAAATTAATAATTAATTTGATTTAAACTCGAAGTCTTCCTATGACCTGAAACCAAAAGCCCAATCGAATTTCGAAAACCTGCACGTGGATTATTCTAGAATCCGTTTCCATTTTAGTGTAGCATTTTGCTATATTACTAGTAGTACAATGAATATACCGTTTTATAACCTCTACTATGCTGCTTTTTAGAGACTTACTAAAGGTTCTCGTTAAGAAACTCGTTCTTTTTGGAGCTGAAGTTATCGACTTTCCCATTTAATATGTCAACAGCTTTACAAGTTAATTTGGCACCTTCGCCACAAAATAATTGGTTACCACCGTCAAACTTATTACCACATCAAAAAATTTTAGTTTCTCTCACCGGCCCTCATGGTACAGACATTATCGGATGTGTATTAGATTGTATGGCAAAAAATGATTGCGAAATTGAAGACTTCATGTTATCTCGACTTTATCATAATGTTACATTTGGGGTTTTGATTACTTTAAAATCAGATAATGCTAATTTGTTTCGTGATCTTGCCGAGGCTTCTAAAAAATGGGATGGAAATTTATCTCTTAATATTCACAGCCAGCATGATATTTTACCAAAATCCCTTGAAGACGCACCATATAAAGATCGTATTAAATATACTGCCACTGTATTAAATCAGAATGGTCTTACTCCACAATTTTTGGATGAATGGACAAAATTATTACTTCGTGAAAAGATTTCTATAGAGAAGATGCAAAGATTGAGCGAAGGGAAATTATTATGTGCTGATTATAAACTTTCAGTGCCGTCGGAAACGGATCTTGAACGCTTGAGAAAAGAATTATTTCAGTTGAGCATAAATCATGGAACTGATGTTGCTCTTCAACCGTTTAACGTCTTTAGAAAGCACAAAAGATTAGTTGTATTTGACATGGATTCTACTTTAATACAGCAAGAAGTAATTGATGAAATCGCTAAATTAGCTGGTGTTGTCAATGATGTTGCAGTATGTAGTCACAAGCCACATATTTTATAAGATTTTTTAAATGCTGAATTTCTAATGTTCTTCCGATATTGTTATTTATAAGGTAATCACAGAATCCGCAATGAATGGAGAAATTGATTTCCAGGAATCTTTACGACTTCGTGTTTCATTATTAAAAGGAACTTCAACTGATGTTATACAAACTATCAAGAAGAATCTTATTTTTACTGAAGGAGCTCATCTTCTGTGTAAAGCACTAAAGAAGATCGGGTTTAAATTGGCTGTAATTTCTGGTAGTCTATCTAAATTTATACTATTTCGAATTAAATTTTCATGTCATATTTTTGTTAATTTTGATTATTTCAATTTATTCTAGGTGGATTCATTCCTCTTGCTAACCATGTGAAGAATGAGCTTGGACTAGATTATGCTTTTGCCAATCAAGTAAGAAATTTTAAATTTAATTTCTTCTCGATAACTTTACTAATTTTGCTTAATAAATAGTTAAAAGTTTCACCGGATGGTTTAACGTTCACTGGCGAACTTGATGGTCCAATCGTTGATGGAAAACGCAAAGCTGAGCTCTTAGAGGTGATTGCTCAGGCTGAGAATATAAAACTTGATCAAGTTATCGCTGTAGGTGATGGTGCGAACGATTTATTCATGTTGGCAAAAGCTGGACTAGGGGTAGCGTTTAACGCAAAGCCACGTGTACAAGAAAAAGTATTATATATTTAACGATCTTTCATGCTTGTATTAATTAATAGAATTATTTGAAGCTAATATTTGCATCTCTTAGGCACGTGCACGAATTAACCAGAAGTCCCTGAGATATATTTTATACCTTTTAGGATATACTGATGAAGATGCCCAACAATTATATAGCGATGATTAATCTGTTAAAACTTATACTTTTATCAAGAATCGAATGTATTATATGTACAAATGTAAATTAGAATATATACATTGATTCATAAAATTGGTCGTGCTCGCCACGACAAATTAGAGATCGTATTAAAATCATACATTGTAATAATATAATTCGATGAGAATCAGTCTATTTTACAGTTGTTTTCATAATTTCTGGGACAGCTGATAAAATAATTATTGATTTCGGTACGATCGATACCTGTTCATTTATTATATAAGTGCTACTAAGGAAACATTTGATTTCGGGCTTTCATCATTAATTTATACATGTTGGCAAAATCCCGACTTACTATAGTTTGGGATTTGTCCATCATCCCAAATCCCAAATCCCAAATTCTAGCAAAGCTAATATTTTAAAAACTTTATTAATAATCTTTATTTAAACAAATTATATATATTCTTATAGTTATAAATAATATATTTACAAAAT